AAATTTAATGCAAATTCTTTGCTCGACAAAATCAGACATAGTAAAAATCGAAAAACTCACTTTTGTATGTTTACAAAAACACCAAGAATATAGCTCTGCAGCGATTGAATATATTGACATGAAACTCTGCATAGATGTCAAAGACAGTGCTACCAACCCACCAAAAAATAATTTCATGATTTTATAGTACCCGCGAAGCTTAAATGAAAAATTCACCTTATTTTTTTTTTATCACAGTAGTACATTTTGTCTCTTATCTGGCGGCCCAGCCAGCCGCTGCTGCTGCGACACACTCTAAGAAGAGAGACTACAAATGTGGCGTGTAATTTCGCCCGAGTTCCCACTTCGTAATCACACGATACACATCGTTCCCGTTATTATCCCGCGAGAGATACGCGAGAGAGAGTCTGAGAGAGAGAGAGAGAGAGAGAGAGAGAGACACGTTCCGCGGGACGTGACACGTCGTAGTTATCTCGCCCGGCGGCTGCGGTATTGCGGAGTTTCCACTTTTCAGAGAACGAGAGCGTTTCAGAGCCCGCCGTTATAAATACCCCCCAGCTCCTACCCCCGCGCCTCTCGTCACGATCTTTCTCAATCAATTCCTCGCGAGCGAGGCGTCGGTCGTCGTGTCGACGATGGCATCCGAAAAGTGACTCTCATTCTCGGCAGCCGGAGGACGGATGGTGAAGAAGGGCGCGCATCGATCAATCAGGCCTTAATGATCGGGCCTCGTGATCGAGTGCTACCGGGGCCCCGGCGCTCAGGACTCTCCCAGAAGAGACCATAAAACGCGCAGGAACGTGGGATATCGATCGTGAAAGGATGGGCCGCGCGTAGTTAACCTTCGTTGCTGCACACGACGGTCATTAGGCTAGGCTCCTCTCGCCGCGTCTTTCTTCTTCCTTTTTTTTTGCGGCAGTTCCCCTCGTAAGTTCGCCCGTTTCACGGGGCGGGAGAAAGGGAAAACATCCGACGGCGGATGTTATCGGACAGCTTCGGCCTTGAAAATATTCCCGAGGATACCGGCGATTAACTCGCCCGCCGACAAACTGTTGCTTCCAATTTAGTCGGCCCAATTTTTACGACGGCGCCGCCGCCGCCGCGCGCGCGCGCGCGCTCGCGTTTATAATTACCGATCGTCGGCGGGGAATTGCAAATGGTGCGCGAGCGTCCGTTGTCTGGCAGGTGTGTGAAAAACGCGGAGATTCATTCGTCGTTCAGTCGTCGGCTCGATCTCGCTTTTTGTTTCGGCTTTCGATCCCGCGTTCTCGCTTCGCCGCGGCGCGGCGCGGCGACGACGACGAGGCCGCGCCGCGCCGTGTGAAGCTGCCCGCTCGTAATTACGAAACAGCAAACGTCCGCGGTAAAACAGCCGTTTCCTCAAATCACGGGGTGCCCGAAAAAACACGGGGGACGCTGCGCCACCGTGTGCGGCGATAAATAAATCGCGGGGCACTAACGGGACACGAGTCCGTCCGCGGACGCTCTCGAGCGACGACGTAACGAACCGCCGCTCTCCGCGTCGACATGTTTCGCTCCGTGAGAGACGACGGTTATTGAGAAAAAGCGCGCTGCCTCTCTGCCCCTTCCTACCCTCGCGAGAGAGCTTTCGCCCGAAATAAAACACCGACACGCGAAAAAGCGCGCGCGTCGTAACGTAAGCCGTCTCCGACGTCACAGAAATACTCAGAGGCGATATTTAGAGAGTGAGAGAGAGAGAAAGAGAGAGAGAGAGAGAGAGAAACTTGGCAGCAATTTGATGTAATATATTGTCAAATCGTCGCACATCCCCCTTCTCGTCTATCCTCCCTCCCGCGGTCGTCAAACACGAGCACGAGCAGCAGCGACAGACGATGTAGGGGGCCATCATCGTCGTCCTAATAGCTTGCCAACTCGAACCCTCCGCCCTTTATCGCCTGCTCTCTCTCTCTCTCTCTCTCTCTCTCTCTCTCTCTCTCTCTCTCCCTCTCTTTCGAGGAGAGCTTTAATATCTCAGTCATGCTCCCGGTTCACGGGCTATTAATTATCCCTACCTACTTGCTCGCTGAACTCGTCGCGCGTGGGTCAGGTCGATGGATTTGTTGCGAGGATTAGCTCCAGTGACGCGTTAAGCGAGCGAGAGAGGAGAGAAGGAGGGGGAGAGACCCGACTTTCCCGTTATATCCAAGGAAGAACACGACACCGGACGATCGATCGGTCGTGAAAGATCCGATGGATGGGAAAATGTCCCACATACAACGACAAATTATCCTACGCTCCGCTCTCGGCCGACACCGACGTGTCTTCGACGTGTACACGTCTCTGCGAGAGACCAAGCGCCTTGGAGGTCCCCCCTTCCCCCTGCGAAAGTTGCCCAAACCTCCAGCAGGTTCCCGCGATTCTGAGAATTGTTTTCGGCTGGTGGCGCCGAATAATAAGCGAATCGGTCGATAATTCGCTCGCTGCGAGAAACTGTGTCGGCCTTTCGTCCGGACTTTGGGCCGACGCGGGGATCGTTTGAGAAGACGCGCAGGAGACACGAGCACGCGCGGGGCCGCGATCGATACGTCGTCGGCCGCTAAAACGGAACAGACTGCACGAGCGTTGACAAGACGCGGAGTCACGGCCGACTGTGTTTCTATTGTTACCGCTGGAACAAGAGGCACACGCGAGTTCTCCGAAGCCAACTTCTTGCGCGCGCTCGTCAAACTTGCACCGCGAGTCACTGAAAAATGAAACTGTCCGCGGCGGGCAGTTATTCTTGCAAGGCGCGCGTATAAGCCGCGCGACGACGACGGATCGATATACTCGCTCGCCTAACAAACTCCAGCGCAAAAGCTACCCGACGACGACGACGACGACGACGACGACGACGTGAGCAGATACGCTCCTGTCGAGTCACGTGTCGACCCGCCGATCGTCAGTGAAGAGTCAGCGAGAGGCTCGTCGCCGTTTCCGGCCTCGACGGCGCGCGCTTCGACCGGCCAGCTCAGCAATGTAGACCCGCGATGTTTCGCACCGAAAGTTTCGGCGAACGGCCTTCGGCGAGGTCAAGCGAGGCACACGGAGCGTGCGCCTCGCACGGAGCCGACAGGGTCGTTGACACGTGCCGATCGAGAGCGTCGGAGTCGCTACGTGTTTCGCCGGTTTATTTATACGAGCCGGTAGAGCGACGGTTTCGAGTCACCGCGTCGCGTCGCGTCGCGTCGCGTCCGACTCGATCGAGCTCAGGCGAGCCTCGTCTATCGCGATAATCCGCAGGAAGTTGGAGGAACAACTCGCAGCTGGCGTCCGGAAATGCGCGCGCGCGCGGACGAATAATACGCACACACGCTTGGCTCTTCGAGGAGCCGAGGTCTCCTCTTCGCGTCCACCTCTTTCTTCGCGCTGTCCTACCTTGCCCAGCCTGCCCGGCCCCGCGCGCTCGTCCACGAACGAGAATGACGAGCGAGCACACTCGGCATAGTCACGCGAGAGTGGTCAAACAAAGAAAGCCCGAGGCTAGGATCCGGCGAGAAAGCGCCGAATGCAGCTGCCTCAACGGTCGGACATTCACTTCCCCGGTCCGCCGGACCATCTTTCTCCCCCACCCCCTCTCTCTCTCTCTCTCTCTCGTCTCCTTGGCGATGCTCCACCGGTCGGCCGCTTGTTCCACTGCGGAGACACGCGAGCGAGTCGCCCGGTTCGCCACGCCGCGGGAATTTCTTCGCGTGGGATATTCGTGCGCGAGCAATTCGCGGCCGATCACGCCCGGCGACGCTCCATCGGCGATCGGCGTTATTAATGCGCGCGGCTGTCAATTTGGCCGCGTGGGAGAAGCGAAAGAAAAATCGGCGCGATTGTTCGACCCGCCAATCTGGCCGTATGAGTGACTTGGATAAAGGAGGAGATATCGCGCGCGCGCGCGCGCTGCTTTCTCTCTCTCTCTCTCTCTCTCTCTCTCTCTCTCTCTCTCTCTCTCTCTCTCTCTCTCCCTCTCTCTCTCTCAACTTTGCTCGGCATCTGGAAGTTGTTTGCGACGACGATACGAGCGCGATGGATTCTGCGCGTTTGCCCCCCGTTATCCGCGCGCAACGAGGCTGTCAAAAAGCGTGTTTCGCTCCGCTCTGCTAGCAGCAAACAGCCCGACAGCCCGCTTGACTTGAATATCGCGGCTGAAAATTTCCGCTGCCGCGCGTTAACAAGGCGTTGCGATTATTATTCGCAACACCGAGGCTCGCGGTGTGTGTTATTGGCGCACGTTTCGTGTCATTTGTGTGTCGAGGTTATCGACGAGGCAATTAGGCGCGAGCGAGAAAAAAGAAACGATAAAGTAGACAAGAAGAAAAAAGCAGACGGAAGAGAAAAACATCACAGATTGCGAGCGGGCGTGATTGGCGCGCCGCGGCGGGGAAAAGTGATTACAAGCCTTAAAACGAGACTGTTGGCATAACGTGGTTACGCCGCCGGCGCGGCGCGGCGTGATTTAACGCGTTATTATTGAATGCGTATTTGAAATCGCTCGTGCATGCGCCAGCGCTATTAATGGCGCGCGCGTAGTCGAGCGGAAAAGTAGAGCCGCGGTGGATAAAAGTTTTTATCGTCGTTGCCATATCGTAACGCAAGCATCGGTCGACCGAGAGCCGGTTGGCAACGGACGTAACACACAACGCGGCGCATCCAACCTTTCACGGCGGCGCCCATTTATCGGCCGGTCGATCTACCTTCGACTCGCGTAAACTCGCGCGCGACTCGCGCGGCGAGTATGAATGGCACAGCGGCGGATGTATTATCGTCGATACACTCTCCGAGTCTCTCGCGCTGCGGAGATCTTCTTGAGAAAGTTTCTCGAACTCGCGCGATAACGAAGGCGACGCTGCTTTATTGTTTGCCCGCGCGCGCGCGCGGCGTCGTGAAATATTAATATGCGCGCGCGGCTGGCCAATCGGCCTTGAACCGTGACGCGCTGATTCGTCGGCGAGTTCACGACGAGATCGACGGAGCGAGAAATTTCAAGACAGCCATCAATGAATCAGACTCACCGGAGCATCCTCTCGTGACGGTCCCTCTCCAGCAATTCCTCCGGGCTGGGCGGTTGCGGCCCCAAGAGGGCGTGCGACAGCGGCGGATACCTGGACGATCTCCACAGCATCTCCGACGAGACGTGGTGACCCGGCGGCGGCGGCGGCGGCGGCGCCGAGCTCTGGTAGCCGACCGGCGGCGCGGTCGGCGCGGCGCTCGCGGCTGGGTTAGGCGCACCTTGGGACGGATGCGCCATCAGGAGCGACGTGTGCTGCACGCTCTGCACGTGCCAGACCCTGGCAGGCGTGGCGGCGGCGGCGGCGGCGGCGGCTGCGACGACCGCCGCCGGTGCCGAGGACGAGGTCGTCTCCTCGACGCTGAGCGCGGAGCTCCTGCTGCCGCTCCTCTCGTCGCCCGAGCCTGCGCTCCTCAGGGAGCTTACCCCGCTGTCGGAGCCGGTGTCGCCGTAGGCACCGGCGACGCCGCTGCCACCCAACGTGGTCCGTATACCGCCGACCACCGATGGCACACTGGCGAGGACACCCGCCGTTCCAGGTATACCGGCCCCGGCCTCCACCTCCATGAGGCCGGCCTCATCGCCGCCCCTCGATGTGTGAGACTGCTGTTGCACCTCGAGGAGGCTCGACGGGGTCAGGTGGGGATGGTGATGGTGTTGGTGTTGGTGCGGGCTGCTCGCTAGCTGATGATGGTGGTGGTGATGCTGCTGTTGCTGCTGCTGCTGCTGCGGCGGCGGCGGCGGTGGTTGTTGCGGCGGTTGCTGCTGGTGATGATGATGGATCACCGGACTGCCGGCGGAGTAGCGTTGTTGGTGCAGTTGCTGTTGCTGTTGTTGGTGATGGTGGTGGTGTTGGTACGACTGTGCTTGTGCCTGTTGTTGTTGTTGTTGTTGTTGCTGCTGCTGCTGCTGTTGCTGTTGCTGGTGATGCGACTGATGGTACTGTTGCAGGTGGTGGTGGTGGTGGTGGTGATGGTGAGTGGCGATCGGCGGTGGCGGCTTGTTCAGTCTCTCGGCTAGGATAACCGGACTTTCGTTGTGCCGATTGCGCTCCTGCTCCCGCTGTTGCTCCAGGAGCAGGCTCTGCCTGCCAGGGCCGCCGCCGCCGCTGCTACTAAGCGGACTCAGCCTCTCCAGCACGGAGCCTGAGTCCTGACTGCTCGACTCCAGCAGCTCGACCACCGATTCGACGCTGGCCGCCCTCACGCCGCCGACGCTACCCACGCTATCCTCCGTGCCTAACTCGGTGGTGGTCAGCTCCGTTCGGCGCGACCGCTGCGAGCCCACTTCCTCCTCCTCGTCGTTCTCGTCGCGCTCTTCCTCCTCTTGCTCCGCACTCGCGAGCCCTTTTGTCTTGGAGCGGACGGTCGCTTTCAACAACGATGGACTACCTTCGCGGATGACAGTCGTCTTGTCGTTGACTGCCGGCGAGTCGACGTGCAAGCCATTCACGAGTAACTGCGGTTGCTGTTGTTGCTGCTGCTGCTGCTGCTGCTGTTGTTGTTGTTGTTGTTGTTGTGGTGGTTGCTGCTGCTTCTGTTGTTCACTTCGTTCGCTCTCGTTAGCCTCCCGATCGGTCGTGCGAGCGTCTTTTTTCAATTCCGAACCGCTACCTTGTTGCTCCTTCGAAGCTGGGTCGCCTCCGGGATCTACTTTGTCCGGAGGTGGTGGCTCGGGTTCTCTGTCCCTCTCTCTCGATTGACTTTCTTCGTCCTCCTCGAGTTTGTCGACCTCTCGCTCGGTCCCGTCGTGTTTTTCCTCCCCCGCTTCCTCCTCGGCTTCGTCGTCGTCGTCGTCGTCGTCGTCGTCCTCGTCGTCGTCCTCGTCGTCTTGCTCCTCCTCCTCAGTCTCCAGCACTACCTCTCCGGCTCGATCCGGTGGGGCTTCCTCGGCGTTTTTGCCCTTACTACTCTCGGAGCGAAGCTTTCTGCCGACAGGGCTTGTTCTTAGCCGCTTAGTCAGTGGATCGCAGCGTTCCTGGCTCTCCTCATCCTCTCCCTCGAGACGTTCTTCGTCTTCCTCCTCCTCCTCCTCCTCCTCCTCTTCCTCCTCCTCGTCGTCCTCTTCTTCCTCCGACCTGTTACCAAGACGCTCGTCCTTGTCGACGGTGGTGGTAGTAGCGGCAGCAGCAGCGGCGGCGGCGGCGGTGGCGGCGGCGGCAGCAGCGGCGGCGGCGGCGGCGGCGGCGGCAGCAGCGGTGGCGGCTCTCGTGGCACCGCTACGCTGATGCTGATGATGCTCGACGGGCTCTTCCGCGTCTGTCTTGACCTCCTGGCCGCTTGCTGGCCTTGGTCTTCTTCGCGCTGGTCTTTGCTGTTGCGCCGCCGGACCGTGGGTCGGGCTCTTCACCGCGGTGCCCCCCCGTCTTCGTAACTTTGAAGCGCTCCCCGACGCGCTGTTCGCCTCCTCGAGCACCGCTCGCGCTACGCGATTGCCGACTCTACCCGACGGCGGGCCCTTGTTCTCACGGTCCTCTTGCTGTCGCGCGGGTAACGCCGCCTCGGGATCCTTGTCGGTTCTCTCGCGACTGGCACCCTCGCTCACGCGTCTACGTCGATTGTTACGTGCGTTGTTCTTCTCTGAAACAGAGAGAGACAGAACGGCGATGTACGTGAGGCGTGTCGCAGACCGACCGGTAGTCTCCCGCGCGGCATCTAATTAATAATGGAATCGTCCCCCCCCCCTACCCACCCACCCACCCACCGAACGCTCGGAGAGACGAGCGTCGGCCCGCGCGGTGTGGCGCGCGCCGACATCGATCAAGCGAATTTACGGTCTCTGTCTACATCGTCGACGGGAGCATAATGCACCAACGACACCGTCGTCGTCGGCGAGTCGTTAACTCGCGGCTAACTCAGTCGAGCTTCGCGCTATCTTGCGCAACCTACTTCGGCAACAGCAGTAACGTGTAGTAGCTCTGCAAAGCGCAAGTACCGAGACGCGGCTCATTTCGACCTCGCAGTTGCGCCGTGCATAATTCCGCGGACGAGGCGCGGCCTTCAACTCCGAAAGCTTTCGCGACCAGCTGCCGCGCGCGAGACGCGTCAGACGCAAGACACGCTCCTTTCTTCACTTCTCGCGAATGCGTAAGTCGCACGAAAAAGGTAGACTCTGATCCCCGTCGCTCCCGACCGCTCCGGGAACACGTCGCGCGACGCTGCGCGTTGATTTGCGCGCGACCGAGCGGCCGCTAATTATTCAAATGATCGGCGCCCTGCGCGCCGTGGATTATCGCGCGCGCGCGCGCGCGCGCGCTCGATAGTCCTCGCGAAGGTTACCTCGATACCCTTGATCGGACCGCGTAATTGTGGCGAACGATCGATCCCTACGCTACAGCTGTCTGGGCTACATCGGCTGTTCACCGTTCAGAGAGAGAGAGAGAGAGAGAGAGAGAGAAAGAAAGGGGAGAAGGGAGGGAAGGAAGGAGGGAGCGAGAGAGAGAGAGAGAGAGAGAGAGAGAGAGAGAGAGAGAGAGAGAGAGAGAGAGATTATGGAGCTGATTTACCGAGGTAATCCCTTTGATGTGCGCAGCCAGTGATTCGCATAACTCGGTAACCCTAGGACGCAGCTTTATATAAAGCTACCTCTCCGCGCACCTACTACCGACCTGCCCGCCACTACACTACATCTCGCCCTGCAGCCCTGCAGCTCTTCGCTTCGTGTGCTCGCATAATTCAATGTGTTAATGTCTCACACGGACACGCGCGCGCGTCGAGAGATCACGAGAGCGCGACGAGAGAGAGAGAGAGAGAGAGAGAGAGAGAGAGAGAGAGAGAGAGAGAGAGAGAGAGAGCGAGAGAGAGAGAGAGAGAGAGAGAGAGGACTCGAGGAAACGTTGACGCGACAACTGTGCTCACTCGCTCGCACCTTCCGAGAGACGCGACGATGACGAACAATCGGCAGCAGTGTGACCGCGGCTCGTGGCGTCGGCGACAGCCGAGGCGCTTCTGAAATCGAAATTGCTGCTTCCTACGTCCCGCGACAGGTTCGGGCCGCCAATCGCGGTAACGACGTAATGGCATTATCGTCCGCTCCATTGGCGCCCGTCCAAAAGTCGATAGCATCGGCGACGGGCCGATATAATAGCCGGGTGCGAGTTAAAGGATTGTTATTGGCCTAATGTTAAATTGCCTCTCAGTTTATTGAGCCGAGTGGACTAGCCTCGTGCGCGCGCACGTATCATTATCAGCCGCGGTGATCCCGGTGGTTGGCTCGTCCGGCAATGGCAGTGCATTATCAACGTCGCCGCTATGAATCTCGCCGGTGACCTCGATCGAGAGCGACGAGGCCTCGACACGTGTGTGCGTGTGCATGCACTTTAGATCAACGTCGTCGTCGTCGTTGTGCTCAAGGAATTGCGTACAGTTCAACTGAGTTTCCGCTTCTCGCCGCCGCCGCCGCCGCTGCCGCCACGTCAGTCCGGGGAGCCGAGTTCAAGGGAGTTCAAGGGGGTCCTCGATTAACCCAGTAGGAGGAACATGGCCGTAGCATGGGAGCAATTTACAACAATGCACGTCATACACGCACACATGACGAAGAGAGCCGAGCGGATAGAAATGCATGCCCATATATGCGTGCGAGCGCGAGGGAGAGACTGCTTGGGAATGGATAGAGAGGAGGATGGACAGGTGGAGAGGAGGCGCACGCATACATGCGCAGGCAGAGAACAGGCAGACTGCGAGAGGGAGAGGGAGGGAGAGAGAGAGAGAGAGAGAGAGAGAAGCGCAAGGGGCAGGGGAGAGTGTGGGGAAGGAAGACAGGGCAGAGGGATTTATTACTTGGGATTTACTGTTATTACCCGGAGGGGGAGAAGCACTCCAACGGGCAACGGCGGTGCATGCGTGGGGTGTGTTTATCCGATACGTGCGGCAGCTCGACCGTATGTGCGCATGTGTGTGTGTGTGTGTGTGTGCAAACGCACTCGCTCACGCGCGCGCGCGCGCGCGCACACACACACACACACACACATGTACGCGCGCGCTGCAGCGCGAGTCGATGCGCATCCCGTTTCCTAGCGACTGCGGTTTGTCGTGGCGTCGCGCGTGCATTACGTCGCGCGTAATTGAACAGTGATCGCGTACTTTGTTTCGTGCTGTTGCTCGCACGTGCTGCCGCGCATCCGCGCGCGTGTGCAGGCGTCATTTTCGGCCTGATTGTGTCCACCGAGCCTATCTCGAGAGCGATGCGCTCTCTCTTTCTCTCTCTCTCTCTCTCTCTCTCTCTCTCTCTCTCTCTCGCGACGGGAGAGAGAACGGTCGGGGGGCATCTGTCATTGCCTCGGCAAATATCGCCGAGCGATTATTGATTGCGCCGAACTGTGTTCAAATGTGTGTGCGATCAAATGAGGAAGAAGACGATGGATGCGACGACGAGGAGGATAGCAGCCGACAATTGCTGAGCTCCGAGCGTGAGCGAGCGAGAACGACGCGGGACGCTTTAATTCTCTGGCTCCGGCTCTTGATACGTCTCTCTTTTTTTCTTTTTTTTTTTTTTTTTTCGAATTATCCCTCCTGCCCAATCGAAACACGGGGCAAACATTTTCAGACAATTTTTTTCAATTATTTTCTGTTCACGACCAAATAAACTACATTTTAACAAATGGACAAAAATATCGGGAGAGCGGGAGGATGAGACCGAGAGCCTTTTGTTTGTATTTTTAGCGGGAAAGCTGCGAGTTACTGTTTTTTCTCTTTTCCCCCCGGAAAATATTTGATGACTCCACCACACGTCGCGTGGAAGTGGAGTCAAACGAAGTGGAAAGTGGGATAATCTCGGTGGGGAATTTTTTAAGGGAAAATGCGATAATTCTCCGCTCTCGTCTGGATATATCGGGATATCGGAGAGGGCCGGAGATTACACGCTTGGCACGGGTCTCGCGCCAAAGTGGACGGTACTCTGGCAAAATATATCGGAGGATTATTCGGCCGGGCTTGACCTTTTATTTCGACGCTCTTATCTTAATCTATCGACCGGATGTCTCTACGTTTCCTCTCGTTTTTCCTCGCGCTGCGCGCGATATTTGCTCGGCTTGGGATCGACTTGCCCGTCGGCCGAGTAAACACGATAACAACAGTCCGGAGAGATCGGAGAGCAGGAATCAACCTTGTCTCATAATCTCGCGAGCACGTGCGATAAGTGGATTATTAATATGCAATTATCACTCTGAGAAAACATTGAGAGGAGAATCATGTATTATGTATCGCGTTACGAGCGATACACAGACGGTATCGCTCGCGTACGTTCTTGCGCGGCAGAGTGTGGACTCTCGCGTGGACGATTAAATATTCATTCTCTCGGTAGCTGAAATCGAGTATCGGCGAGTATGCTAAGTATGTCGGTCTCTCCCGCCGTTGGACTGTTTTCCCGCGGCGCATTGCATCAGCGCAATTTGCACATGGCCATTTATCCGCGTGCGAGTGTTCTTATCGCGTTGCTTGTTTGCAAGAGCATGACGAGTCGATTTTCTTCCCCGGGGCGAGAGCCATCGGGAAATAAAGCCGCCGCCGCCGCCGCGCGGCGAGAAATGCCACGATGCTGATCGCGCGGCACGAAAACTCCGCCTCCGATTCTCGCGATCTCTCGCGCAAAGGTGATCGCTAAATGCGAGATTCGACTTTTGCGTGCGTTTCTAAGTCAACGACTGACCGCCGGGCGCGTCGCGTCGCGTCTCGTCGTGAAAGCCGCGGAAACTTCACGCGGCCTTGCCCGGCCGTGTAAAACGGGCAGAGCTTTAAAAGCGAGCGCGAGCGCGTTTGCGCGCACGTCGACGTCCCTCAAAAGGGCCAGAACTCGTGAAAAACAACTCCTACGCCGGCGCCCTTTGTCACGCGGCACGACGGTGCATCCCCGGGATTTGATAGATATCGTCGACTAAACCCGACCCACAGAGTCGCAGGGGTGGAATTAGGCATGCCTGGGCGACCTCGCCGGGCATTTAAACCCTTTGTCAAAATCAGCGCCCCGTGCAGGCAGGTGGTCCTTGGAGCGCCGTGGTTAACAAAACATCGGCCTTTCCCTCGGACCCTCTTCCCCCCCGCGCTCACTCTCTCTCTCTCTCTCTCTTTCTCATCCCTCCTCCTCCTGCTCCCCCTTCTACTAGCACTTCTACGCTATCGACCACGTCATGCTGAATCCGCATTCTGCATGCGCCATTAGTCTCTGTGCGAGTATCAGTCACTGCCATCCGTCTGCATTATCGTCCACTCCCCCCCCCCTTCTCTCTCTCTCTTTCTCTCCCACTTGGCGTTACGTCCGAGCGAACGTCGGATAAATAAATTATCGTTGTCGCGATAAATAAACGCATTCGAAAGCCGGCTCGCAAATTCATGCCCTCCCTTCAACGGGCTGCGCCAAATTTTCTAACACGAGTCCTCCCGGAACGTCGTCGCGCGTTTCGCTTGCGCAATAATTCGCACGAGTCTCGCATGAATGATGGATCGGAATTAGATAGTCGTATTAGGCGCGCTAAATATGCGGCATGAATGCGAGGTCTTGTGCGAATGTTAAACAGATCGCCACGCGCGCGATTGTTAAGGACTGTCATTCATCGCGCGTGGGACGGGGAGTACGGGAAATATAT